CTCATCACAGCCTCTCTGCTTAAACTCACACACACACACACACACACACACACACAGGCCTCTTGAACAAGTTTAAATGCAGGGATCACCAATCAATGTAATAATCAACCTGAAACCAATAGAATGATTGTATTACTCATGTGCACAATGAGCTGTGCAGTCACTCACACAGTAAACATCATATATCTGATGTGTGTGGCTGTTGATCAGGTGATCATTCACTGGCAGTGCAGGATGTTAAAGGACAAACCCACACAATGACTGACCTCTGAGTCCATGCACTCACTGTTGGACTGACTCCTGGTGGCTTCGCTCACCAACTACACACGGTCAGGTGACAATCTCACACGTGTCGAACATCTCTCCACACAAAACACAAACCGTGATAGTGTTTGTAGGAGATTAGCAACTCATGTATCAGCATAATCGACATAATTCTTATTCTGAATAAGGTGAATAGTTGAATTATCTGTGTCCATGTGAACTCTCCCTGCCTCCAGTATTTTATCTCAGCGTATCTATCGGCAGAAGATTATTTAGTGACACGCTGCCAGGTTTTGCTGTTGCAGTAAAAATTTGTCTCAGTGTGAGTTATGTAATTCTATCAGTGTCATTAAAATCACATTAGCTTATTCTCGTGGAGCTAATTTAATAGCAATCTGCTTGTCACGTTATATTGTGTGTAATCGATGTTTGGTGTGAAGGTGGCAGGAGCAGGAAGGTCAGAGGCTCTGCAAACATTCTCCATCCAGCACACTGGAAGGAACTGTCACATCACGGTCGACACTCGGTAACATCGGTGTCGACACTCCTCCGATATGTCAGAGTGGTACATCCCTAGCCGCCCTCCCACTCAGTTCAAAACACACACACACACACACACACACACACACAGATGATGCGACGTGTGAGGCGGCCGTCACACACAAACCATCGACTATCAGACACATGCAGGTGAAGAGTAGAAAGAGAGTCTTTCCTCTTCTCTCTGCCCCTCCACAAACCCTGCTGTGACTTTTATCTGCAATCAGACAGAGTGGAAACCTCCATGACCTCCATGCTGCTCTGCTGGAGCCCCTATCACCCCCACACACCCTCCTCTTCACTGCTTGTTGCCAAAACACCAACCAGAGGCTGAGCTGCTCTGTGCTCACAGGCAACGTGGGATCAGGGTGAAAACAGAACAGAGGTTCTTTCTTTTTTAACAACACATTTCATTTGTAAAATACATCGTTAGAGGTTCTAATATTTCTCTGTTCACCTGCAGTTTAACAGTGAAAAGTTGTTATTTTTGTGGAATTTCAGATGAAATTAAACTGATGATAATCATGAAGCAACGCTTGTGAGCTTATTCAGGCAGCAAACTTGACCTGAGCTGCTCTAATCATGTGACACGCCTCACTCTCCACAACCCTCGATAATGCTCACCCCCTCGCAATTTGGTGCTCTGTTTAAGCTACAAAGATTGTCCATCTCTCCCTTTGCTCGTCAGCAGCTCTGCTGCCCTGCATCAGTTCCACTGAGTCGACCACTGCATCCGTAGACCGCCCCAGCACCCAGCTGTAGGCCAGGACAGGGGGTTTAAGATTTGTTCATCACTCCTCATTATATTACTATAGTATATCTAAGGAAGTGATCAAGTCAGAGCCTGGACACCAAACCATGTTCTGCTGCTGCAAGAAACATCTCGAATGTGATTTGTCTGTCTGAACTTTAGTAGTGTTCAGTATCATGAGTTTAATGCTGAAACAATCAGATCATTAGTCACCTTTAGAAGTGACGAGTTAAATCAACAGCAATGTTTAGTCTTTAATAAAACTCAAGCTCCAATACGTGTCTCTTCTAGACCTTTGTTTTTCTTTCTTGTGTGTCACTTTGACGATTGTTGGTTTTTAAGTAAACAATGAAATTTCCTTCTCAACATTGGGAAACGATCACCACTCAGGTTCCATTCGAGTTTTTAGCTTTATCACACATCCACAGTGTTCTTTCAGGACATTTCTTATTCCTGTCAGTGGTCTTTTTAACTGTTGAGACTGTGTTAAGTTTCTCAGGTTACATCCACTCCTACATTTTCCTCTGAAAACACATCTACTCCATCCATTACTCTGAAGTTTTAGAGCTGCTGAAACAGAGAAGATGGGAAATGACGTTTAGTCTACACGGGCAGAAACTGAGATGTTAAGAAACAATGATGGAGACCCTCACACCCGCCTGCTGATGTTGTATTATTTCTGTTAGATGTTGAGGAACTTCTTGTTCACCAGCTGACTCATGTTTTCTTTCTCTCTGCAGTTCCTCAGCACGCTGTTTGCTCCTCTGAACTTCATCATGGAGAAGGTGGAGAGCATCCTGCCGTCCAGCCTCTGGCACCAACTCACCCGCATCTGACCTCCAGCGACCCCACCGGACCAGAACCAGGAAGCCGACCTCCATCCAGACAGAAACAGCTGAACTGAAACCCAGAATGCTGCATTGGACTGGACTGACACACCTCTGTGCCAAGAGTTCAAACCAAACCGCAAACAGACGAGGACGACGGGAGGAGGAGTTACAGACGAAAAGAAAACACAACAGAATCCAGAATTGGTTTTGACTTTATTTGATATGTTTGCATTTTTTGGGGTTTTCGATCATTTACAGCTGTTCTTTTGTTGTACAAAAAGAGGTGATAAATTGCCATCATTAAAAAAGTGAAAAGACAAAAAATACAATAAAGGACTTTTTGTGTATTGCTGCAAGCAGCTTCTTCCACCATGATTCACTCAGAGTTTAACAACAGAAGGAGTCGACCGTCAGCTGGAGCTGCTGCAGGAAACAACCGGGTAAATTGGATTGTTTGTCTGTGGAATCCTTCACATCTTCCTCCAACCTCTGGATTAATTCTGTCACCCACAAATTAACATCTCACTAAACTGTTTAACCTGCTGCTGCTTCTCTCTACAGTGATGCTGAAGAGGCTGTTTGATGACAGAGAGCTATGACCGCATGGAAGAACCAATCTGAGGTTTTGAGAATAACGTGTTAATATTACAAGAAAAACATCAGAACTTAATCAGAAAAAAATATCTTGAATATTAGCCACCATCAGAACAGGTAAGATGTCTTTGTGGGTCTTCCTTCTGAATAGATATTTCTTGCAATGCAGAAGACCGACTTTATTCCGATTTTTTTTCTCCTAAAATGAGTTTTCACCATAGGACTCAATAAATTATGCCATTCTGGTCTTCAGACTTTCTAGTTAATTTACAACTTTTTTCTTGTAACAACTTCTCCTGAAGTTTGAAAGTTCTTGTAATATTATGATCTTATTCTCAAAATCACATGTTATGCCCTTGAAGAGGTCCTGGTGTTGTCAGCAGACTGAGACATATTTGAAAGGAAGAGTGGTTATTTAACCTTAAAAAGAAAACATTTTAAGTTTCATGAAAGTTTAAAATGTTTGGGAACAAGCGAAGTTATGTTATAAACTTAAACCCATTCTCAGTTTGTTTGAAATGAGTCAATGAGCAGATCAAGTCAACGGTTTACTATGTCTGCGTTATTGAGTGATCGTGTAGGTTTTGACAAATGAATGCTGACTTGATGTTTTAGAAGAAACAAAGGACGATCTTCGACACGAACACCATTGATTGTCAGGGAGAAATGAACAGATGAGGATAAATACAGTTTGTGCAAAAATCAAACAGGTTGTTTTTAGAAATGACCAGCAAACGTGAAGTACTTGATTTGTAGGTAAAGCAAAACAAAAATCCTTAAATGAGTCTTAAAGAGTTCTAAAAGTTTCCTTAAATATGAAATTGCTGAGGTGGTCATATGACACATCTCTAATAAAACAGGAAGCAGAAGCCTTCAGATTTCTTCTTTGTAACAATCTCAGCATGGAACACAGTGAGTGTGATGATGTTGATACTGATGTGACTGATCGTAACTCCTGGACTGATGATCACAAAAGTTTTATTCAGGCAGAATTTTCATTTAACACATCACATGGGAATAAAACCAAACAAACAGCGCCCCCATTAGTTCAGACTGTGTCAGTGTGACTCCTGTGATTGGCTCACACGGCAGGAAGAAGTAAAATATTATTATTTAAGATGTGTGACGGATCTGTTGGTTACAGTTAATGGTTCATACACTATATATCTGATCTTTATTTACACAACATATTTACACAAACAAACAGGTCCAGTCTGATGGAACTATACACAAGTTGTGTCTGCAGTTAAAGGATAAAATGTTCAAATGCAGGTTTTTACCTCATGTGACAAGTTGTGTTTGTTACAGCCTAGTTATTGTGTGACACTAATATTTCTACACGGAACTTCACAAATGAACTTCAGATATTTTTACCGACGTGAGTAAATAAATACATGAAATGGCTGACAGGATTTAGAGATTTCAGCTTAACGTGTTCAGTTGCAGTTTCCTCTAAACTCTGATGTACAAGCTGATTTGGAGGTGACAGATGATTACTCAGTGAGTTTACTTGTACAGAATATGAGCTGGTAGCATTTTATGAGACTTGACAGTTGTACAAGCTAATGTTGAAACTCAGAGCTTCACCAAGTGGATGTTATTATTGTTCTGCTTTACTTTAACTGTGTTGTTTAAATTCAGAGGCTTTTTACAGCAGCAGTTCCGACAGCAACTCAAACCTGAAGTTCCTTATGAGTCTGCGCCACCTGCAGGCAAAGAGGGTAAGAACGTGATGTCCTGTCTCTTAATGTGTTTCAGTTTGTAGTGTTTAAACTTGTAAAATGTGCCTTTTTTTTTTACTTCTATTAACCTGTAAACATACAATCTTTTCTACGCCTGAACCTGAAGACTTCAGTGTCTATGCTGCTGATCATTGTCACAGTGGAGTTAGTTTGCTTGTTTATGAGATTTGAACATTTTCACTTCAATAATGCTCAATTTTCACTGAACAGTTCATCAGTTGTTGCCCCATTTTCACCTGGTTTCTGTCTGATGGGACAGATTTAAGATTTCACACTAATCACATTCATGCTCCCATCAGAATGGAAGTACGGCTGATAAGTTGCAGAGTTAAGGTCACATACGCAAATATTTGGAGTTAAATATTTAAGCTCAAAGTTGAACCAAACGTGAAGCCACGCTATGAGATACCTCGCCACAGGAGGCAAATGTTTTATTTGCCCCCTTGCTCCTGCAGATTCAAAGTGAAAGTATGTGTGAACAGGCAAAATCGTTTTGTTTCACTCATTGCCTGCAGGTGGCACTAGTGTTATAACTGCAGAGGCTCTTACTTCCTTTGCCTGTAGGTGGTGATAGAGGCACAATCACATGTGCTACTGCTTATATTTAACATGCCTAAAGGTGGAGTGATCACAGTTACTTATTAATTATTAAGTAATAAAATACTCATTTATATATTCAATAATATTTTAATGTATTGCCATGCATTTTCCTGTGGGCTCATCCTTATGAGTACCCACCACAGGAATTATAGCTGTTAACAGATACATGAATGAACACACCACGTTCAGTATCTGTGAACCATTACAATGTTATAAATATAAAATGGCTGAAGTGCGTATAAACTTGAGAGAAGCCTCTGAATTCATAGCTTTTATTTGAAGCAGATGTTGAACAGTATGTGTGAAATCTATCAGATGTCACAGTCTGTGGTTTTAGATGACACACAGCACGCTGGGTGAGAATAACAGACCTTTTGTTTTACATCTGAATCCAATGATAATGTATGTCTCTCTGTATGGAGAGATTCTGAATGATGCCGTTAACACAGAGGAGGAAAAGAGCCAGCGATGCAGCTGATAAAAACTCATCTTAATCCTAACACGTGGATAATGACGGCTTGTATCTGCTTTGCATTAAATCGTTGAAAAAGTTTGAAATTCTGGAGAACGACACGGTGAACGAGGCGACTCTGCCCCTGGTAACAGATCTGACAAAACTACAATAGATTACATGACGTCAGATATATTTTCAGTGTTCAGTCCTCGGGGCTGCTGTGTGTTTTTATTTGGGGGGGGGGGTGCAGGGGCAGTGGGAGCAAGAGATGAAGTCATCATTCCATCATTCCTCTGCCTCCTACTATGGAAAAAGTGGCCTCAGATAAAGTACATCGACATAAATGTTTCTATTAATGTTAGCCGGTGGAAATGCTAACACACTATCTCAGGAAGTTATACCAACAGTCATTTGCACACTCGTGCTCCAAATGCTAAGTGCTGAAACACAACAGCTAACTCAGAGAAGATAAAGAAATAACAAAAGGTCGAAGACCCTCGTGAACGTCGATGGAGAGAGACCACCGGGCCACCGGCCTCTGGCCACCAGCCTCACACTGGTACGTAACGTCCTCTGAGCAGCAGCCAGTCACAAACACCAGTGGTGCGACTTTAGGAGCAGACACACACTCAGTGTGGTGGCTGATTGATGTCGTTGAACATGTACCTTGTGTAAATACAGAGGATGGATTTTGTCTACAGTTACACTGTGGAGAATTCAAACTTTTTGAGATCAGTTTGCTTTGGCAGTGCACGTGCATGAATGTGGGGTGGAGCTTCTGAAGGAGTGAAGTTGTTTCAGAGGATCAGATATCTGACCTTTAACGAGTCGAGCTGTGATTGCACTGTAGAAAGTGTGAATTAGTGTTGATTGATATAGTTGCTTTCAAAATAAATCCACTGATCAATAATTTTAGTGATTTAACCTGTTGCTCTAATCATCTGGAGTCTTGAAGCTTCATGGTCAAACACAGACGTGACGTGTTTTTGACTCGTGTTGTTTGGAATAAACGTCACGTGACATCTTACAGAAAAACTACCTACTGTTTGATTGACAGGTGATCAGTGGGCGTGTCCTTTGCTGGTCACCTAACGTGACTTTGCTGCTTCAACGTGAGCAGGGCAGTAGTGTTCAGTGATGGGGGCGACGAGGTCACGTCTGGCCTTTGCAGGTGTGGACGTCGACCTGCTGGTGGCAGTCTCGGCAGTGCACGGCACAGCACCAGTGGAACTTGCACTCGCACTTGGTGGTCTGGCTGACCCGGGACGTGTCGTAACCCCGGCCGCAGCACATCACCTCGCAGCCGTCCACTCCTCGGGACGTCCGGTTGCAGATCCGCCCTCCTGTCCCCATCGACCCTGGAGGGGTGAGAGAGAATGAGAGAGAGAGTCCAATGAGATACAATGTATGTTCTTTCGAAATATTCCAATATTATATATTTCAGCTGGATTTGTTTGTTTACTCTGAATTTTACTTTCCACAGCACTCTCTGTGCTGAGCATCACAGCCTCATTCTGTAGAAAGAAACGAGAGTGGATGTGTGAAATAGTTTTCTTCTTTGAAAGGTTGGACAGATGAACGTGAAATAGAAAATACTGCTGATGCTGCAGCTCTGCTGTAAAGTGCTTTGAGGGGTCGACTAGAAAAGCTCTAAATACAGAACATTTACCCAGTAATGAAAATCTAAAATCCAGTATCACAAAATACCTAAATATTTCCTGAGGGATCAGAAAAGTGTCTAACATCAGAAAAATGTATTTTCATCAACACTTGGTCGAGGCTTCTTTAATTCAAGTTGTATTTGTAAAGCACCAACTCACAACACATGAGAATTCAAATCCAGGCAACAGTTCGACAACTTCTGTCTCTTAAAGTTATCAGCTCCACTGATTGAATTGTTATATTCAATAATATGTCAAAACACATTTTAGTGGTTTGCTTAAACATTACACAGGATCAGTGGGACAGTGGTAAAGTGGTACAGCGGAGAAACAGTCTGACACTGACTTAACCGAACCCCCCCAGGCTAAAAAAGGTGACAAGCATCCTGGGAAATTACTCAGGATTTCAGGCGTCCTGAAGAGATACTCCAGTGAAAAGTGACCCTTTAACATGCTCTCTCCAAAGTGGAATCAGGAATGTGACTTGGCAGAATATGAGCCACAGTTTGTCCAATCAGAGTAGTTTTATAGGTTGTCAGGAGCCAATGGGTGCGCAGCAGAACACTGGCAGCGCAGTGAGGATGAGACAGGAGGAGGCTGGGTAAGATGATGAACGCTAAGACGATGGAGAGATGAGAGATCGATGATAGGAGCCGTCAGCCTGCGCTCTCACTCTTCATCAGCTGTTCATTTTGTAGGAGACAACCGTCGCTCACACACACACACACACACACACACACACACACATCCCAACCACTATCTCCTCATGCTCGACTGACTGGCACCACTGACACTGTATAAACTCACTTTGTGTCTGCAGTCTGCAGAGGTCATGGCTGTGGTTATTTATGTGTTTTATCAGGTCACGTCAGAATAGAACATCAGTCAGTGCAGTGACACCTCCACCACCGTCCTTTCAATCCAATCCAGCTGCACTAAGTGTCCACTGAATCAGACAGGACGTCACCTTCTCACTGCTTTATGATATTTCTGTTCATTCAGACTCTACATGTATTGGGAGTCAGCGGATGTAAGCGCCCTGACACGACACTGTAAACCTGCTGACACACCAACAACAGACTTTCAAATCAAAATCTGGTCAAGTGTGGATAACTGAGCTGAAACTGAGATTTGGCTTTAAAGGTCCAGTGTGTAAGATTTAGGTGAAAGGGAACTATTGGCAGAAATTCAATGTGGAATAATCCTCATGATGTTTTCACTAGTTCGTTTCATCTAAATTGTATGAATTGTAGTTTTCTTTACCCCAGAAAAGACCCTTTATATTTAAATACTTTATATTTACATGGAGGGGACCCTCTCTACGGAGGCCGCCATGTTTTTTACATTTGTCCAGACTGAACAAACTAAACACCTTTTGAGTTTTAATGACAACCACAGTTTCTTTTTCATGTTTGGAAGGAGAGGGTGAGGTGAGGGGTGTTCAGCTGCAACATGCAACTTCAACACTAGATATCACAAAATTCTACACACTGAATCTTTAAGTTCTGGAAAAAAAGATAATAAGTGGACTTTGGTCAGTGTTCTCCCTCCATATGACAATAAAGCTTTGAATCTTTGAATCTAATGGGACATCCGCTTCTTGCTGTATCAATCAAAGTTGAGCAAACAGCTCAACTGTTTTATACAGTATTGACTAACTGACTTTTTCTTAACTGTAACTTCTCAGATAACTGTTTTTTATTTACATTTTGAGTTTGCAAAGTCATCTTTTTTTTAAAGCGGCCCTCTGTCATAGCAGCAACATTCACAGGATGACCCCCTCTAGTTTTCTTCAAAGTAAAAGCACAACATTTTTTTGCATTAGATTGAGATGAATTACAGCTTTTGTTTTGAAAAGTTGTGGACTTGGGTGTGAAGATTATGTTGATTGCTCAACAGACCGCTGACAAAAGCCGATATTGCAATGAATGAAAAAAATAACAGCAGCTAATATTCAAACTTATATATAAACCACACATGAGAATGGTAAGAGAGCGAATTCAGTTTCATGTCATGAAAAACCTAGAAATAAAAAAAATAAATGAAAACTATGAATGAACCAGGGAGGATGAACACAAGCTTTTCTAACTTCACTCTGCACCATAGACTGTTTATAACAAGTAGGTCCAGAGTATTAACACAGACCAAGAGAACAGCTCATTCCAAACAGGCAACAAGCCCTGTAATGAAAACTTGCTAAAGACTTGTTGGTTCCAGCTCTGGATTTGTATTTATTTCTATATTTGGGTTCTGAACGACACAAACAATCTAATAATTTGATTTTGGACGCAGGGAATTTTTGACTGATAAAATTCTTGCTGAACAAAAACAATGTGCAAACTCCCTCTACTGTAACTTTCAAGATGTTTGAATTCTAATTCGGAGGTTTATTCCTCTGAGCTGCTGTGGTGCAGAGAGCTGAACGTTACTGTCTGACTGTGTTAAGTGCTGCTGAAGAAGAACATATGCGTCGAGTGTGTGTGTTCAGTTGACTTCTCCTGTATAAATAGAGGTTTAGAAAAAATGATGCGCTGACTTCAAGTACCATCTCGAACATTGTTCTGGAATTCGCTCGTGTTTACATTCTGCTTCGCTCTGTGTGTTCACCGTCTGTGCACCGTTCCCTCGCCAGGTAATATGTCTGGGCATGACCTGAAGGCCTGCCCCTCTCTGGCAGCGCGCCCGCCCGTCATCCACGGTATGCTGCTAGGGGTGACATCACGGCCAGAGAGGCTTCCTCGCAGGCCTCGCTCTCCACGTCTGCTTATTGAATTAAGATGAGGGGGCGCCGAGAGATGAGTTTAGCACCTGAGCCTCACCGGGGCCGAGGCAAATTGATTTCACACTTTAAAGAGGCACAGAGGGGCCGTCTGACATCTCTGTGGGCCCTGAGTTTAAGAGTGTGTGTGTGTGTGTGTGTGTGTG